GATCACTGAGGTCCTGGACGCCAGCTCCACCTTTCATTGTTTAAGGGCCCTATTGGGACAAATGGTAAAATTTAAGGAACGCTGCTGAGCGGTGGCCAGGGATGGAGCCTAGTGAGAGAGCGCCTGGGTTCAACCCTCAGTATCCCTGAAATGTTTTGGGATAAAGGAGCATGACATTCAAAACGCACTCCCAAAGGGTTGAGAGAAATAACTAGACACACACACACACACACACACACACACACCAGCACGGGGAGGCAGGAGTGCGCAGTATGCACAAACGTCAACCGGAGCTTCTGGGTGAAGAGTGTGGGGAGTCTTTATGTTCTTCCTGCAACTTTGCTTAAGTGTGAAATTATTTTGAAATAAAGTTTTTAAAGAAAAAAATCAGAAAAAAGGGATCAAGAGTACACACGAGTGTGGGAGACCTGGCAGAATCCGAGTTTGTGTTTGCCCTCCTGGTCCCCGAGTGGCAGTGGCAGTGACAGTGCGGGGCCAGCAGGGTGGCTCGCTTCCCCCTCTAGGCCTCAGCTCCTTGACTTGCAAGACGGGGACCAAGAGGTCTGTCCCTTCCTTGTGGTCACGGCTTCCCAAATGCGTTCAGAAGTTCCAAGGACAATGGCAAAAAATCAGAAGTAAAAATGGGCGACAAGAGCTTGCCTTTTCATGGTTTAGCAAAACAGACTCAGGGCTGAGGGTGGAGCAGGCTGAACTCTCCACTCGTGAGGAGCCAGGCCCTGGCATCTCGGTTGTTCCGAGATAGCCTCCTCCTGTCCAAAGGGGTGGCCAGCATGGACCTGCCCTGTGGCCACAGCTCTTCTGGGTGAGCCTCCTGTCAGAACAGGGCTGGAGTTGGCCTTGCCGGGACTGTGCCTCCCTCCCTGCCGCCATGTCTGTCTTCCTGCCGGGTGACAGCCTGGCCTGGCTTCTTGGATCTGCCTGGCTGGCTTCTTGGATCTGCCTGGTCCCCATGGAAGGGGTGAACTTCTGAGTTGGGTAGTGACATGACCAGCCAGGGTATTCTGCTGACAGCACAGGTCACACAAGGGCAGAGGGCTGGTGGATCAGGAAGGGGCAGTTGTGTGTCCCCCCCTCTCCCCAGAGACATGGGAACCTGGGAAGCCCTGAGAAACTACAGACTCCAGGGTGGTTACCCTCCGTTCCAAACCCCAGCCGCAGCACACCACACAGACTCTGGCGGCAGCTTTCCCTAGTCCCCTCTCGCAGCACTCCTGTGTGCCCAAGGAGAGCTGGCAGGCACCCACCACCTTCATTAGGAACCAGGACAAATCGATAGAGCTGAGTCGCCTCTGTACCTGAGCTGCTGGGACAGGAGGAATCTTCTGGTCCCCGAGGCCAGCCGCAGCACTCTTTCTCCTGGGAAAGAGTGAGCTTCTGATAACCTGCTCATGCTGCTGGRCAGTGATCAACCTCTAGGAAAACTGCAGAGCCAGTCCCCAGAGCGCCAAGGGTCCCGGGTGGGAAGGCAGTGGTGGAGGTCTGTGTGGGTAGACCACTCCTGGACCTTCCCTGGGCTCAGGCAGCCGGTCCTCTTCTGCTCATCATGGGATGTAAATATCCAGTCACGCACATAAGTAAGGTTTAAAACCCCTTTAAATGCATCTACAAGGGCCCATATGTACCTACTTCTAATTACAGCTTCCCATTAACAATAGCAGCAGTTAATGTACTGTTTACTACATACAGGCGGTCTCAGCACTTATCCCCACAATAAGGCAGCTTTTCATTATGCCTGTTTTATAGAAGAGGAAATGGAAACATGGCAGGGATAAACAGCATGCCCAATGTCACAGCGAGGCCTGTGATTTGAACCCAGGCACTCTGAACCCAGGCCCTAATGCTGCCTCCCCAAATAGGGGCTCAGCACATTGATGAGAGCCTGAATTATGTGGCTACACAGGTAACAGAAAGAGAGACACTTGGAGGGAGCAAATGTCGGTACCCCTTTCCACTTGAGATCCACCCCGGCCCCTCTGCCTGGCAGGCCCATGCCCTTGGCGTTGCCTGGCTGGGCTGGTGCGGAACATGTGTCCACACGGGAACGAGTGAGACAGAAGAGCTGACCCTGCTGTTCCTCTGCTTATGGAAAGGGGCCCAGAGATAAGTTCAGTCATTTGACCTCCACAGCTTTCCCACAGGGCCTTCCTGTGACTGGCTGCCCCTCCTGGGTCTGGGCTTCCCAAGCTGAGGTCCAGGTCAGTTTGGGTTTGGGGATGGGAAGAGGGGAGTCCTGAGTGTGGCTTCCAACACAGGCCAAGGTGTTTCCCAGCCTCTCCCCCGACTCCTCCACTTCCCCGGGTCAGGCCTGTTACTCCAAGAGCTTTGCAAGGGTATCCCTGAGAGACACTTCCTGCTGTTTCTGCTCAAACAGCATTTGCTGCAAAATATGTCAAAGCATTTGGGCTTCAGTTTTCAGTCCAGAATATGCCAATGTTTTCATTTGGAAACGGAAGTGTTTCTATTGATGTGGTAAGAAGATAAAATAAGATGTTCTTCACCAAATTACACTTTATGAAAGTCAAGTTCTTGACTTGGGGATAGGGATTCATTTTGGAACCATGGGGGTCTAGCACACAGCCTGGCAGAAGAACAACAGAGTCAATGTTTGTTGAGTGGCCAAATGAATGAACATGTAAAGAGCTTAAAACCAGGAGTATAGGGTTTACGGTCCATGTTCAGTAGATTTCGAACACTGGGCCCCGGAGGCTCACCTGATGGTATTCTCAGTCCCTACTTCCCTGAAGTCACTGACCTGCCTCATCTAAGCCTGCTACCTCTAGCTAGACAACTGACAGCCCCCAGCTGGCTTCCTGCTGGCACTACCCTTCAGCCCACTCTCCCCACAGCTGCCACAGTCATCTTTACAAACTACCCTGCCTAAAACCTTCCAGTGGCTGTTCACTGCTCTTGGCTGTGGCGTCCCAGGTCTCGGAGGTTGTGGTGTGGTCCCTGCTCCTCACCCCTGACCTCTCTGGGGCTGCTCTCCAGCTGTGCTGTCTTTCAGTTGGTGGATAGACCAACTCTTTCCCAACTCTTCCCATCTCAGTGTCCTGGTATTTGCAGTTCCCTCTGTCTAGATTGCTCTTTCTGGATCTTTGAGTCTGGCTCCTTCCATTGATTTAGGGCTCGGCTTAAATGTATCATGTCTTCAGAGAGGACTTCTCTGACCCCCTAACTAAAGCAGCCTGGCCCTAGTCTTAAGCCTCACCAGTATCTACCAGGTATCTACCAGGTGCCAGGCTCTGGTGCAAGTGCTAAAGACACAGCAGTGAACACAACAGGGAAGCTCACAACCTTCTTGCATGTCCTCAGAGCTCGGTAAAAAATCTCATTATCTTGGCTGGATATTTGCTAGTCTTCCTCACCAAATGCCAGGCGTGCCAGGGCTGAGTCTGTCTTGCTCACTGCATTCACTCCCCAGGCACAGTACTGAACCAGTAAGCATTTGTTCAATAAAAAAACGGATGGATGGAAGGCAGGCAGGCAGGCAGGCTGGGGAGATGCAGAGCAGCTGGCACACACCCCATCTGGCACTTGGCTCTTGCTAGGATCTCAATTAGCTCAACTAAAGTTTTCCTCAAAGAAACCTCACTCTGGACCCCGTAGGTAAGCCCACTGCTCCCRGCACAGCTGCAGCAGGTCCTGCCCCACCCTCTACAACAACGTTTGCTTTCTCCCATGTGCCTATGTTGAGACCCTGTTCTCAATATGATGGTACTTGGACCTGGGGCCTTTGGGAGGTGGGTTAGTCATGAGAGAAGTCCTGGGAGCAGGTTTAGTGCCGTTAATAAGAACTGTGAGGAATAAAGAAGTTAGCCAGCCCATGGTAGTCTGCTGGGCATCTGGAAGTGATAAGAAACCCTGACTATGGTCCTGTTGGCAAAGACAGGCAGCCCCGGAGAGGAGAAGACTGCCTGCTTGGGGTGAGTGGCACCAGTGTCTGCTTTCTAAAAGAAGCCCCTGCCCAACGTCTCAGCACCCCCGCTCACTGCCACTCGACCCCRTGCCCAGGAGAACTCCAGCATCATTTAGCCCCAGGACTCAGTCAAGGAGTTCCTGTCTGCCCCAGGAGGCAGCCCCTACCCACGGACCCTGACAGCCTTCCTAGTACACATGTGTGTTCTCTCTCTCTCTCCTTCCCTCCCCCTACTCCAGCTGCCTTGTTGGGTGATTTTGGTCGGTCTTAGTCCTCCCTGTACCTTCATTTCTCTACCTCTAACATGCAACATGGGCTGGGCTCAAAGCTCCCTGGCTGAGCCCAGAGGCAGGACTTTTAACACCTCAGTGCAACAATCCTGTGGTTCCTTAAGAGTCCCTTGAGGACCTGCGAACACTGTAGACAAAGCCAGCTCCAGCACCAACCCCCAGCCTGCCTGCTCTGTGAAGGCAGCCTGCAAAACTGGCAGCCCCTGCAGATTTCAGCTGCAGAGCTGACAAGCTGGGACACCCTGAAACCTGACTCCAATACAGCAGCAAACCCAAGGCCAAAAGGAAGTACAGAGTCCTCTGCTGAAGGTTTCTTCTCACAGCCTTGGCCTGGGGGACCCTGCACTTAATCCCCACCCAGTCCCTCAAGGGGCCACAGTGGGAAGGTGGCCAGTGCCTTGGTCTCTACCCCTAGTCTATCCTCCCAGGACTAGTGAGAATCCCCCAAATGCCAAGGTCATCATCAAGACAGGCAGAGGCTGGGGGGAGGAGCGATAGCTCTGCTTCAGATGGACTTGGGTCCAAAGGCTCTTTCCACAGCATTCAAGCTCTGGGGGTAACTTCCATAGCTACCCAAAAGGTAACTTAGGGTCCCCTCCCTCTTAAGCAGCTCTCCTTTTCCCTGGGGGAAGCTTTCTGGCCCCAATTGAGGACCCAAGAGACGTGCAGCCATTCCTAACAGCCAGCTAGACCTGAAGGAAGTGGACAGAGGAGTCAGAAGCCTGGGAATGCCTCCTCCCTGTCCCACCCACCCTCACCCCGAGGGCACTTACAGGCCTCGGAGGGCTCCTCCTGGGGTCCCATCCGGGTCCAGACAGCGCACCCAACCAGGATCGTGGAGGGGAGAGGGGAAGAGTAGTCCACCCTACTCCAAGTATCCATCCAAGACGTCGAGCTCCGAGTCGGTATCGTAGAGGCCGGAGCCGGGGTCGGAGAGCACGCCGAGGTCCACGAGCGCTTGGTCCAAGTCCTCGGGCAGGAAGACGAGGCCCACGTTGAGGACGATGTACTCCATGAGGAAGGCGTAGTAGAGGATCAGCACATTGACGAAGAAGAGGCCCACGTAGAACATAGAGGGCAGCAGCGGCGGCTGCACGTAGGACACCAGGGGCCCCAGAGAGTCCAGGTGGGCTGCGACCCGCGCGCCGGGCATGCAGGGGGCGGCGAGGGCGGCGGCGGCCGGGCGATCCCAGCGACCTCAGCCGCTGCGGCGCCCGGGCGGCCGGCGAGGGGGCAGCTCAGCCATCCAGGGGCGTCCCGGGGCTCGACCGAGGCGGCGCTGGACCCCGGGTGGCCTCCAGGAACGTGCGGCGGCCGGGGCGGACGCGCCTGGATCCCGGAAACGTGCCGGACGGGGTCACCGCACCCTCCAGAAGTGACCACCCGGCTCTCTGGACCCGCGGGGCGGCGAGGCAGGGCCCCCCGAAGTGGCCAGCGACCGCCCGGTTCCTGCGGTGCGCGGCGTTCGTGCTCACAGGCCCTCGGAGCGCCAGCGCGACCCCCACCGCGGCTCAGCGTCGAGGGCCCGTCCCGGCTGCCGACTCTGGCGCGCGCCGCAGCCGTTCCTCGAGCCCCCTCGGCGCCCCCGCAGGCCCAGCGCCCAGGGCTGCGGCCGCCGCGTCGCTCCCCGGGTCGCGCTCCGAGCACCACCCCCCGAGCGGCCCGGCGCTCATTGGCGCGCGGCCGCTTGACCGCGCTCATTGGCCCGCTCAGCGGCCGCGCTCATTGGCCCGAGCCGCCGGGGGGCGGGCACCTCTCCGCCCCGCCCCTCCGGGCGCTCGCCGCGGAGCGGCTTTCCTGCGTCCCGACTGAGTGTGCTCCACTCTCAAAGGAGCTGGGCTCTGCGGGTCCCAGGAGTCACAGGGAGGGGGCCGAACACAATCCAAACTTGGACGTGTCGCCAGACTAAAGGCTGGAATAAATCGCGGATTCTCTCTGCACCTTGCTGGACTTGGGTATGGTGCCTCGCCCCCTGGGGACTCAGTTTCCGCAGTTTTCAAGGAGGCGACGGTGGGGAGGGGGAATCAGTTCCGCAGATCTCGAACATTCCCACAATGCAGGGGCTTTTGTTTGTTAGTTTGTTTCAATCAGTGCACCCTCACCTCTCCAAATTCTGCTGCAGGGAGAGCTGCCCCTGGCCAAGCCGGGATCTTCATTTTAGGATTTGGGGAACACCTGGGTGAGGTGAGGAGAGTCCCAAGGAGGTCGAACCTTCAGCCAGTACTTATTGTTTCCTTTTACTTTATAAACTGTGTTTAAAAACAATAGTGAGGCACTCGCTAAACAAACGACCAGTGAGTACACAGACAAGTGAGTCTCCCACCCATTTCCCTGCTCAGAGGCAACCGCCAGCGGAGACTGATTTTGCCTAAAGCATCTTCCAAAGCAGTTCAATGAACCTTTACATCTAAGCCACACCGAGATGGGTGCTTTACATATATTGCTTAATTGAACTCGGACAAGTTGCCCTGTTTTACAGACGAGGAAGCCCAGGCCAAGAGAAATGGAGAGACCCTGAAGCTGCTGGCCCTGGGTGCGTTTGTTTCGAGGCCAGAGCATGCTCTTTTTACTCCATGACTTTCTTTCACTCCCTCTACATAAAATTCCAGACGAACTACTGGCCCTGCACTGTTCTCCATGCCTCCAGTTCCAGGAGACAAAACAAACCATCCACTCATACACTGCTAATATTTATTGAACACCTACTGTGTACCAAAACTCTTGTTGGCATTGGGGAGAACACAGTTAATGGAATGCTACAGGACTTAAATAACTATGAGGGTAGAAATGGATGACTAGGTAGATAGAGAACAGGGAAATCTTGCTTCCACCCAGTCTCCCATTTTCAATTCAGTTGAGAAATTTAGATACATTTTGGCTTATGTAGAAAGTTGTTTCCTTTTTGTTTTTGATGTGTTAGTTTGGGAGATTGCATGAATTTGGGGTGAAGACCGGAGATATCCTTTGAAAGTACAGGATGTTCAGTTTGGGTACATTGTTGCTGGCATAGCTTTCAACATACATATTTTTTTAACCTGAAGTTGAAAAAGGAAAAGGCTCAGAGGACAAATAAAGCCGTTAAGGATTTGGTGCAGCTTTGGTGTATCGGAGCATGGAAATTATAGATACCTGAGCTTGAATGCTGATTATGCAACACATTTACTGCTTGCCCTAGGGCAAGTCAATCTGTGACTCAAGGTTCCTGGAAGATAAAAATGGGGAAAATAGTAGTATAGTGAGTACAGTAATAGTGACAATTAAATAACATACCTAAAGCACTTAGAACAGGGGCCCATAGTATGCACCATGCAATAGCTAATCTTATCATAAAGTTATAATGGTTAATAAGGCAGGGACTTTTCACGCCTCTACGTCTGGCTCCTCCTCAGGGCTCCGCCCACCCGGGCCGTGCTGCAGCCTGTCTTCCTCTCGCTCCGCCTCTCGCGGAGGCCGCATGATGTATGCCGGGCCTTGTAGTCCGTTCGCGGAGTCCTGTCGCCGGGGGCCTCGCGGGCGAACTGCAATTCCCAGCGTCCCTCGCGGCRGCGGCCGTAAAGCGCGGCGGTCGAACGGCCGGTTCCGGCTGAATGTCAGTGCGGGGCTGTGGGCCGGGGAGGAAGGTTGTTGGCGGTCCCGCCACCACCACCTCCRCCGCTGCCTCTTCCACTTGTGCTGCCGCCGCGGGCACTCGCCGCTCGGCTGGTCGAGCATGAGACCGTGAGGAGAGCGACGGGCCGGGGCCGCCGACATGTTTGGCCGCTCGCGGAGCTGGGTGGGCGGGGGCCACGGCAAGTCCTCCCGCAACATCCACTCCTTGGACCACCTCAAGTGAGTGTGCCGGGGGCGGGGGCGAGGCCGCGTGGCGGCTCCGGGGCGGGCCGGGGCTCGGGGCGGCGGGCGGCGCCGGGGTCCTGCGGTGGAGCGCGAGGACTCGTCCGGCCGCCGGGTGCGAACCCTGACCCCGCCGCTGCTGGCCGCGTGACCTTGGGCCAGTCTCGAGCCTCTGGAGYCGCACCCGTCAAGTGCCCGGGGAGGTTCCGGTTCGCGGACGCGGGCTCGGTTCGGGGCGGGGGACGGGGGCCAGGAGCTTCGCGGGATGGGGCTGGCTAGGCTGCACCCTCCGGGGTCCCAGGCCTGGACCTGGAGGGGGGACGTGCTCAGCCTCCGTTTCCTCAGTCGTCCAGGAGTCGAGAGGCAGCCCCTGCTTCCTGGAGGGTTTTGAGGGCTGGTTGGGCGAGAGAAGGAACAAGAAGCCCAGCACACGCACAAGTGCCGGTCATTAAAGAACAAGTGTCACCCGGCGGAGACCTGTCCGGGACGGCCCGCGCAGAGCTGTGGGAGAAGCGGGAGTGCAGAGATCCGGAGCTGGCCCCGGGTCGACCTGCGTCCCCTCCTGACCCCACCACTTAGTGGCTGTGTCACCTTGGACGAATTATTTCACATCTCTGAGCATCCGGCCCCCATCAGCAAATGGGCCTGGTGTRGGTCGTGTCAGGATTCAGTGCTGTCATGCGTGGAAAGCCACGAAGCCAGGATTGACACAGTCGCAGCACTGAACATTAGAGTTTACCAGGAAGCAGGTGGCCAGTGTCGGTGGCTGTGTGTTTAGCCCTCTAAGGTCTTCCCAGACCACCCCACCTAAAGTGCTCTCCCTACCACAGTTCCTTCCTGTTAGACCTTTGACCTGATGTCATTCCTTGCATTCCTGCTGTCTGCCATTATCCCATTTGTTTTTTTTAACCTCTTTTCTGTGTCTCTATTAAACTGGAACTTGCAGGAGGGCAGAGACTGCTTGGTTTGTTCACAGTTGTGTACCTAGAAGTTAGCACTGCCCCCCCCCCCACACACAGTAGGAGCTCAGTGGGTACTGACTGAAGAGTGAGCAAATCAGAGGCAGTGACTTCAGGGAGGACAGGGKAGGGGTGCCGGGGGAGGAGTAAGAAACAGGCTGTGTCCAGAGGGAGCACCTGAGGGAAGTAAGAAGGATGGGGTCCCGTGATGGCAGGGAACTAGAGGGAAGTTGGGGTCTGTGGCAGGGATTAGCCAGAGGGGAATTAGATGGGGGCTTTCCATTTGATCCTGAGGAAGGGAGAGAGTTATGATTTTCAGCTGTGACGTTTCTAGTATGGAACAGGCATTTAATGAATGTTTGTGGGTCCTGAAGAGTGGGGGACAGGATGATTTTAGAGGTGGTGGGGAGAGAAGCCGAGGAGAGGAAAGAGGTTCAGGACAGGGACAGGGGTTGGTCGGCAATCAGGAGTCTTTAATGGGAGGGCAGCTGGCAAGGAAAGGGAGTGGCTTGAGGATTTTAGGAATTTATCAAGTGGGTGGATGTGGCTGAGAAGGGGAATGTGTTTATCCCAGCGGTTGGGCCTCCTGCCAGCACCCAGGTACTGAAGACTCCCCTAACTCTGCCTGACTATAGCCCTTTTAAGTTACTTTAATATTTATTGAATGCTTTTATTCTGTGCCAGTTGCTTGCTAAGGACTTCCCATGTGATATTTCCTTTGGTCCTCACAAGTCTATGAGTTATAGGAATTTACTGTTTCCATTTTATAGAAGTGGAAACTAAGGTTCAAGGAGCTTAAGTCATGTGCCTGAAGGTGACAACAGCTGAAGACTGTGAAAGCCATGTTTGACTCTAGAGATTGTACTTGTTACACTGGCTTTCTGAATAAAACTTCTGGTTGTTAGTTTGGGGAAACTTGACTCAGCTGAGTCCCGTCGCCAGCAAAGCATCTTTGCTGACCAGCCACCATGCCTGGGAGCTCAGAGGGTCTCAGGTTCCTTTGCAGTATCCTGAGAACTGTCCAGGTGCATTGTTTAGGTCACTGGAAACCAGAGCTGTCTGCCCTGGATCAGCCTGATCTGTGTAATCCCTATTACAGCCTCAAGAACCTGGTGATATGTGATTGGTGTGGGGCTTAGAAGATCCCAAGGTGACTTGGGAAAAAGTGCCATAAACAACTAGTGCCCACCCCTGTGCTTGCTCTTGCTGTACTTCACTTGGCTCTGGTAATAAACATCTTGGGTACAGAACAGCTCATTCCCTGAGAGAGTCTGCAGGCTGGTGGGGAGGCAGCTGAGGAGCCAGTGACTGTACAGTATGTCAAGTGTTGGGATCAAAGGAGGCCCAGGGTTCTGTGGGATTCCTTCTTGGAAGCTTCTGGAGGAGGCACCATTAGAGCGGAGTCCCCAAGGATGGCCAGGAGTCAGCATGTGGAGATGGAGGGGCACCATAAGCAGGACCTTGGGGTGTGTGGTCTGTCCAGATGGGAGGTGGTAGTTGTAAGGAAACAAGGCTAAAGGTAGAAAGGGACTAGGGCTTTATCTGACACCTAACTTTCCTGATTGTTGGGTGACCTAGAACTGAAGGGTTTCCCAGAGCTTTGGAATTTCATTGCTGAAATTGGGAAAGTTCTGGACAAATGATACATATTGGTCACCCTACCAGTGACAGTTCCCAATGCACTCTTGCCTCAGGGCAAGAGTGTCAGCGTACATCATTATGGAGAGGAGTGGTGAAGACATTTAACATAATTTAGAATTGATTTGTTTGGTTGTTGTGGTGTTTGGCACACAAATCATCTGGAAACCACTCTCTTTTTAAAATAGAATTTTTTT